GCCTTCGGCGGCTCCTCCGCCGGCGTCGACCTCGCTGCCATTGCTGTCCGAGTCGTGGAGGAGTTCAGGGGTCATGAGCTGCAATCCGACTCCCACGCTGACGAATTCGAGTTCGCTTTCGCCTGCGACCACCGCCATTCCGATCCCATCGCCACAGCCGACGAGATCTTCTGCAACGGTCAGATTCGTCCGTCGAATCCTTACGCTCTGCTCACATGCTCCGCCGTAGGAGCCGGTTCTCCGACTGACGCTAAGGCGGAGGATGGATCGAGTCCGCCGATTACTCTCCGGCGCCGCCGGCCGCCTCTGAGGAAGCTGATGAGCGAGGAGCGAGACTCGGCGCCAACGGCGACGTGTTCGCCGAAGTCATCGGAGGCCGACGAGGATCTCATCGGCGTTTCGCCGGACACCTACTGCGTGTGGACCCCGAAATATCCGACCGGCGACGAGCGCCTCCACGAACAGTCGTCTTCGCCGTCGCAGGGCGAAATCAAGAGCAGCAACGGAGGAATTTCGAAGCGATGGAAGCTTCGGAGCCTGTTGTACGCGAGAAGCACGAGCGACGGGAAGGAGAAGTTCGTGATCATGACTCCGGTGAAGAAGACAGAGAGATCTAACGCCGGAGAGGAAAAACCGTCGCCGCTAGACGGGAAATGCGACGGAGAAAACAGCTACTGCGAGAGATCGGAGGAGCCAAAACGACGAGCATACGTGCCGTATAGGAAGGACATGGTTGGTATTCTAAGAAATGCGTATGGGTAAATTCGACATTTACGTCCTTTCGAAGGACGCGGACTCGGTGGGGTTCCGTCTCTTCCTTTTTCCTTGCTTTTTTTTTTGTTGTTGTCACCTTTTACTTTTTCGTTCGGTCTTCTCTTTCTCTCTCTTTCCGTGAAAAATCTCGAGTATTGGGTGAGATCGTCAAATATTGAAGTCGTTTAGGTAATTACCAATAATACTAATGATGATGATGATGATGATGATGATGATAATGATGTCCAAAACCCCATTAGAGATCTAGTAATAATATACAAGCAATTGAATTTTCATATCCATTTTTTGCCACTATTTTAGTTTATATATATAGTTCAAGAACTACATCATAATAAACAAGAATAAAGTATGAATATATTTGGAATTCGGGTAGGTTCAAAAGAATTCTTTATAATTCCCATTTGAAGGATCACAACAGAAGAAAAAGAGCTTAACAAATCTAAATCATTAATATTCACCACTTTTGGTCGGCTCTAAATTTCCTGGTTTGGTTGGTGATATCAATTTGATTTTTCTTTGCCTCGATCAATCATCGTCGCCTACTTGTCTTTTTGTTTGGCCCCTCCACATGTTATATATATATATATACACATATACATATATATGTATAGAAAAAGAGAGACTTTAAGTAGACTCATGAGAAGCTGGTGTCATTTTTCCTTCATAAATAATGGACAAGGAATACCTGTGAAGAAACACTATTATTATTATTATCTGATATTGTCCCTTTGCTTAGAAACGAGAATGGCTTCTTAACCTGTTGTCTAAGCAGGAACTGGCTTTGGTCCTGAAGAAATCCGCAGATTCGCGGCATACTCACGCGCCCACAAATCGTAGTGGATGATCTCTTCGAGAGACGGTGAGGATTCTAACTCTGCTCGGTGTTTATCGCATGTCATCTCCACCACCTTGAATATATCCAGATAGCTAATCCTGCAAAACATCAGTAGAAGATACAAGTCACATTCCCTCCACAGCTCCGGCATTCAATGATGATGGTGCCAATTCCGAGATTTAGATGGACTGATTCTGAAAAAAAAAAGGTTTTTTTTTTCAAAGGGCAAGTGTACTTTTCATCTATGAACATCTCCACGGCTTTCTCATTGGCTGCACTGAGTACTCCAGTCATCGTGCCTCCAGCTCGTCCTGCAGCGTAGGCGAGGTCCATTGACGGGTATTTTACGTTGTCTGGCTTCTTGAACGTCAGTGAGCCAAGCCTGCAAAAGTACAGTTTCGGTTAATCCAAACTAAGCGCATGCACATCAAAGTTCCATGCTTTTTCTCCGGTGAGTGTTTCTCTTAATGGTTTCTTTTCATGGTTTACAGTGTATTAAAGGGAGCTATTGTATTGATTTCATAGGATAAACAGAGGATATGTTTTTGCTTACTTGCAAAGGTCAAGCCTTGGCCAGGTTATTTCAGAGCAGTAAATTCTGTCAGGCCATGACATTGTGTAGAGGATCGGGATACGCATGTCGGGCCATCCCAACTGTGCAAGAACGGATGAATCCTGGGAAAACGAACAATGACGGTTGCACCACAAAAATGAGCGAAAATTTTTGACATCAGAAGCCGAAAAAGCCATGAACTTTCCAGAATTCAGACCTGGGTTTCGACCATAGAGTGGATGATACTCTGAGGATGAATTACAATGTCAATATTGTCATATTCAGCACCAAACAGATAATGGGCTTCAATGACTTCTAGACCCTGTTCAGAACAACAACATAAAAACTCAATGGCTTGACCTAAATCATGTGAAGTATGGTGCTTGTCAACTTAAAAGAGTGAGTTTCAGTAGAATGATCTCACCTTGTTGAAAAGTGTGGCCGAGTCTACTGTAATTTTCTTCCCCATATTCCAGTTCGGATGTTTCAACGCATCTGCTACTTTAACGTCCTTCAGTTTATCCACAGGCCAATCCCTATTTGAAACCCGACGAAGAATTGCCAAAACCCCATTAGAGATCCGAGAGAAACTTATAGAAAGGGGAAGTCGAGGAAGAACGTAACGTGAATAAATCCGTAATGGACGCTTAGAAAAAGCTCCTAACTGAATAAAATCAGCTATACTCGAAGTTTTCAGAGTTTTATGCAATGGTGACATATTGTGTGAACTTCTCTACTAGGGAGCTGAAATATTACAGATGAAATAATATGGTTGCTAACCTAAAAGCACCACCAGATGCAGTCAAAATTATCCGACGAAGAGCACCTTCGGGCAAACCTTGAATACACTGGACACAAATAAAATCCTTTCAGTACATTGCTCTCGGGACAAGAAGAGAAATCGATAAAAAAAATGAAAAGGATATGGTTATAAGATCATTGAAAAGGATATGGTAGATTCTACCAACAGGCTCGAAGAAAAGACAGTTTTTCTCGTGATAGATACCTGAAATATGGCCGAATGTTCTGAGTCAGCCGGGAGGATTTTCACGTTGTGCTTTTTAGCAAGGGGAAGAACAAAAGGGCCACCTGCTATTAACGTCTCTTTGTTCGCAAGAGCAATGTCCTTTCCTGCTTCGATTGCAGCAACTGTAGGCTGCAGGAATGTAAAGAACGCCCATAGATGAAAAGTTCTTATTATCCAAGCAAGAACTGTGAGCTCAGTTATCAAGAGCAATCGAATCATATTTTGCACCCATTCTCAGACCGATTTCTTTTCGGTTTCTTGTTCATGTTCTCAGTAAGTTGATGATATCATAGAAGAAATGGAAATGCAGATTGGTGATCAGTACATTTACCGAAATATGGAGTAAAATAAGAACAGAAAGCCGGTACCTTGAGTCCTGCACAACCTACAATTCCCGTAACAACGGTAACAGCATCCGGGTGTCGGGCCACCTGTTAATGCATTACGAGCAAAACACTGAGGACCGAAAGACATGAAATTCCACGGATAAAACAAATTTCAGACCACTACCTCAATCACTCCCTGATCCCCCGGAATAATCTCGGGCATTCGCTCAACATCCGCCAGAGCCTCTTTGAGCTCATTGACCAGTGCCACGTCTCTAATCGATACCAGCTCAGGTTTGAATCTCTTAATCTGTTACATTTGAAAATCTTCAACTTTAACATAAATTCTCTCTAGAGATCACTTAATTCTCTAGTTTTGGTTATCATCGGTTATCAACACTATTGTACAGCCTTGTGCTATATTACAACTGGAATGAGAGTAAAATTGATTTCAGGACTCGTTTCTGATGCATAAGTTGAATTGGATGGTAAGAACTGCAAATTTACTGTATTACTGTGTTAGGCCATTTACCTGATCAGCAAGGAGCGTCACGTTTGAGCCGGCAGCCAGAGCTACCACTCTAAATTTATCGGGGTTCTCTGCAACGATATCCAATGTCTGCAAGAAAAACACCGAATTCCGCAACTTCTAACGAGTGAAAACAATTCTACAGAACTCATTATCACGAGGAATCCTTGGGAAGGAAACATAAAACTCAAAACTCAGATTATAAAACTCAATTCCCTCAATTTGCACATATGGGTTTGAAACATAATTTTCAAGGAACGTGAGGTTGAAACCATTGATAAGAACCATCTAGGAAACTTGGGTTAGATCCAAGGAAAGGATGAGGATTTGGACCTGAGTACCAATGGATCCTGTTGATCCGACAATTGAGATAGGCTTTGGTCCGTCCCAAGACACGCGTGCCGGTTCCGGAGCTGCTCTCCCTGGCCATGCCGGAGGAGGCTGCACCCCTTCCACTGAACACTGAACTCTTCTTCCTTGGTTTCTTCTCTTCATACCAACCCTGCCTGTGGCATTGCAGAAAGTACAAGACAGAAAGAAATCTCAGAACTAACCCAATGGAAATCAATTGCCAAACATTTCACCAGAATCAGACAGAACCCACATGGGGAACAAAGTCGAGTCATTTGTTTATGGCATCACATGATATGTTTCAGCAGCGAAACTCGGGCATTTTCACGATTTGTGCAGTCAATCACGAGAGCGCGAATTATACGTGCTTTCCCAGGCTAACCCAGATGCTAGAATTCATACAAAACACGAAAAGATTGCAGCTTTATCCACAGGGGATTTCAGGAAGGCCACCAATTAACAAACCCCGATTCTGAAAATTGAAAATTCCAAGCCCCACGAGCTTTGTGGAGTCCTACTCAGCATCTTCAAGTAACCAAAGTCTCCATTTTTTTTTCTGGGCAACGAGAAGGTAAATAGAGAGAAACAAAGAGGGAAGAACCTGGGATTTTAGGAATTTGATTGAACCTGGCCGAATCCATGAAACAGGCAGCTTTAGATTCGGCTGGAGAGAACGAGTTCAGCGTCGTCATCAGCTCCATTTCTGAAAAAAAAAAGGTATGTTCTTTTCTTCAGAAACCCAGTTTTATTCAAATTCAGAGTCGAGGGAGAAGATGAAGAAAAGGGTTCCAACCCAATAAAAGAACGGAAAGGAGTAGGGGACAAAGCAGGAGGAGAGAATCACAATCTCACAATCAGTGAACACAGAGAGAGAGAGAGAGAGAGAGAGAGAGAGAGAGAGAGAGAGATTGCTGCGATGGTAATCTGTATGGTATGAGCCGCTTTAACAACAAACGCACGCACTTGTGTTGTGTTTTGTCTTCGGATTGGGTTCGTTTATGGTAAAAATGATAGATGTGACAAAGGTTGTATTTTTGTTTTCACAAAAAATAAAATTGGATTCCGAAAAATAAATAGAATCCATAGAGTTTATATATTGGAGGAATTGCTTAGAAATTCGGGGGTTGAATCCACTAATACATGAACTCGTTCACTAATACAATGAACTCAGATTTATGTCCTCTCATAATTTGGACCTGAAATTAACAATTGTCTTTTTATGCGGTGTCGAAACTTACAAATCAAATAAAGGCGATGAATTAATTTGTTTGTAGAAAAAAAAAAGATTAGTATTTTGAATGTTAATGGTGATAAGTTGTGTGATGTACCCAAATATGGAAAATTTATATATTTTTCCATACCAATAAACCTCCTAAATAGTATATATATTTACCAATTAAGCGGTGTAGGTAAACAAATTTCACATTTCCAATGTATCTTTGTGGTATTTAACAAATTTGATTTAAACAATACACATCGAGTTAAGAAATATGATGAAATTGATTATGAATATACAATCAATTTCATTTGTGATATTTATATGAACAACTATTAAAACGTGGTTTTGACTTATTGATTATGAATTAATTTACTAAATTGTAGTGGTCCGACAGGTATTATCGAAATAATCGAAACTTTGTTTTATTTTAATTTTTTTTTTTTGAATGCTCGTGATCTGTCTATGGTTTCGTACGTTGTTTGTGTGTTCGACGAATTCTCCCGTTCCAAATAAACGAAAGAGCCCACACCCTTTGACTCCTAGTGATTATTATTTTAGATCACGTGTAAAATGAAAAATAAAGGTTATTATTAAAAATGAAATAGAAATTGTTTACGTGATGGATTATGAACGTTGAAATAATCTAATACGGTATCTATTATTAACATATATAGGCATATATAACGGGTATAAACATAACCAATATATATATATATATATATATATAAAATTAAATGCCTCAAACATTGTAGTTATCGAAAACGACTAGCAATGGTAGTAGGATCGGCCATTTTCGCCAATGAATTAAAAACATGCCAAAAACACAGAAATACCATTGTTCAAGTTTAGAATATAATCTAATCAACTATAATTCTATATTTAGTTCAAAAGATAAGATAATTTAATCTGTAGATAAATACAGTTCTTATATAGAAATTCTACACAATGTTTATCCTCCAAAAAAAAATTTAATTCATAATCTCAATAGCATCACAATCTTATCTTATATATATATATAAAAGCAAAAATGATCTCAACTGTTTTAAAGGTTAGACCAAATATTTGATTATGGAAACTCATACAATTGAAATGCAGTATTTATACCCCGGGCTATGATTAGAAGAAATTTGGGGGAATTACATGAGAGATTAAAATAAAAAGGGGTGTATCGATAAGCATATTTTCGATAATAAAAATATATGAATATTTGTTTTCGTAGAAATGAAGAATTATTTATTTATCATACACCACGTTTATTTTCGTAAATCTTGATATTATTGTGAATGAACCAATCGTTTGAATCAATTACATTGTGGGATGTTATAATTCGAGAAAAATATTTTTATAGCTTCAAACACACACATATATATAAAGATTACAAGGAATTGCCGTTAGAGATCCCAAATGGACTTGGTTCACGAGTCGGTGCATATTTTTTCTAGATGGATTTTGAAAATTTGAACCCGAAAAAAATAGGACGAACGAGCCAATTCTCTCCTGACGAACCAGCTCGTCGACTTGTTTTGTTTAACTTTTTAATTTTTTTATTATATTTATAATATTTTTAAATACTTTTTTAATATTTAGATTTTAATTTTTTAATAATTTATTTGATTCATTAGTCGGTTTGTTTGGTTTGTGAACTAAAATGAACTGAGTTAAGTTAAATAATTTTTGACTTACCCGAGACCCCTGTAATTTACTGTTGTGATTGGACAAATAGGATTTGGGCTTAGACTCTGAAAGGCCTTTTTGGGCCGTCTTAAGCATAGGCCCAAATAAATAGATAACGACAAAAGACCGAGCTGCTTTATATTTATACTTTAAAAAAAAATTAGACAAATTCAGCAGCACAGAGATGATGGCTATAATCTCCATCTCTCTCTAACCTCGGTATCAGCAAAACCCATCTCTCTCTCTAGCCTCATCATCGTCTTCGTCATCAAGCTCGCTTCCCTGTTAACTACTTCTGGTTTGTCTCCTTACGTCGCCGTTTCATGTTGTTCTGAATTTTTCTTCGATTTTTTTTTTATTAAATGTTCTTTTTTGTTGTTGGTCCTTTTTTTTTTTTTAAGGTGGGGAGTTATGGCGACGCAGCAGCAGAACCAGACCCTCTCGGATTCTCCCTCTCCGGCCGACGAAAAACCCCAAGTTTCAGGTCCGATCAGATTCTTCTAACCATTTTTACTACTTTCGGCGGACTTACAAATCCTGGGCATGTGATTGAGGGAGATTCTTGGAACTTTTAACTTCTAATATTCTGGTTGACCTGATACTGTAAATGTGTTCAATCGTTGCTCCGGGCTTAGTTTGTATTTGTTTTCTCAATTTGTTTTTTGGGTAAAGATCATGATTCATGACTTTCATTAGAAGTATTCTGATTGTGGAGAACTTGGAGTCTTAAGCTGAGAAAATTTGTTTCATTGATGCTTCTGAAGAAACAAGTTAATCTCGTACTATGTAGATTTTGATTGATGTTTCGTTGTTGTTTGGCCCTGGCCATGATCTCTTCAAGATCTCTTGTGTGGGGACTTTGGTCAGCAAGTGTTGTAATATTTATGACGATCATTGGCTTGTGACGACGACTATGGCCTATGCCCGAGTCGGTTTTCTCGTTGAAACAACTAATTTGATTCTGTGACATAGTGGTGGTCTTGTTTCTTTGAAATGCTCTTTATTCTTATTCTTATATGTATGACGTATGTTATCTGAGGGGTTTATGCTACAAAAAGAGGGGAATCTCATAGATCTAAGTTATGCTGTTCTGTGTTTTTTTTTGTATTACAGCGGGCATGATGGCCAGAGATGAGGTTCAACAAGTTTCCACCCCGGAAGCTGCTGAGCAGAATGCGCCAAAGTCTGTGTTTGTGAATTCAGAACCAATAAGGGAGGATCAAGTCCAGAATGCCGTGAAATTCCTTAGTCACCCGAGAGTTAGGGGCTCTCCTGTAATACATAGAAGATCTTTTCTCGAGAGGAAAGGCCTCACAAAGGAAGAGATTGACGAAGCTTTCCGCCGAGTTCCTGTAAGCATCCTCCTATCATCATGGTTGAAATCTGTTTACTTCCCATCCTAATTCGATGAGAAACATTTAAGAAAGATTTTTGTACCTGCGTCTCTCTAAACTCTTAATCATAGGATCCGCCACCGAGCTCACAGACAACTAGTAACACTCAAGGTAATAAGCAAAGAGTATATCTGTTAGTGTCTTCAGCTGAGAAGACCGGTTGGATGCATATAAAATTATAAATTGTTTTGTTATGATCAGATGGTGAGCAGACAGGGTCAAATGTTCAGCCACTTGCACAGACCCAAACACTGCAGCCTATGGTAGCTGCTCCTATTGTTGCGACTCCGCCACCAGGAATTCTCTCCAGGTTTCACTGGTACCATGGCATTATTGCTGTGGGATTATTAGCAGCTTCAGGTGCTGGGACAGTTGTTTTGGTAAAGGTACTGCCAGCCCGGAACACCCTTTTTCTCTTCATCTATGTGGAGGGTATTCATCCTCATGTGCATAGTGTTGTGTTTGGATGGTTAGTTTCTCAAATAATGCTCTAAGATGGTTGAGCCATGAGTAAGGTGAAAGCTTAGGATATGAGATTTTGGAATACGGGGATAACTAATGAAATAATGGCCTACCCCATCATGTTCTGATGTGCTGTAGCATCAGCTTGCTTTGATTCAATCACCCGATTATAGTGGTCATCAAACTCGCAGGCTGACAATGTTAAAAACTTGCTGGGATAGGAATTATATTGTCAATTTCTTTATTGAAATCAAGCTATTTTCCTCTTTGTCAGAATTCTATCATCCCCAGGTTGAAATCTTGGGTCCGAAGAATTGTGATGGAAGAAGAATCTGACCCTTCAAAGAGAGGAGATGCAAAACCCAGTGTAGCCGAACAAGCCGCCGCCGCCGCAAAAGCTGCTGCTGCAGCTGCTTCTGATGTGGCCAGGGCTAGTCAGGGAATGATGAAAACGAGAACTGAAGGTAGATCCTTTTTATGTGACAAACTTATTTAAGTTTTTCCGTTTTCTCTTACCATTTCCTTTAATGTCAGACTTGTCTTTGTATTTTTTACACCCTTATCAGAGAAGAGATATTTCGAGGAATTCATGCTCCTGTTAGATAAGCAAGTGCAGGAAATGAAGTCATTGAGCAGAAGCATCCGAACGCTGGAAGGTACTTGTCCCTCCATTCGGGCTAACTCACGAGCAATCTCTTTTGATTTTTGCAGAAGTTATTCACTTACTTCCTTTCAACCAAAGATTAGCTTCTAAGCTTTTTTTTTTTTACTTTTTAAAGCATATTCCTACACTTTGAGGAAATGATGAAAACGAGAACTGAAGGTAGATCCTTTTTATGTGACAAACTTATTTAAGTTTTTCCGTTTTCTCTTACCATTTCCTTTAATGTCAGACTTGTCTTTGTATTTTTTACACCCTTATCAGAGAAGAGATATTTCGAGGAATTCATGCTCCTGTTAGATAAGCAAGTGCAGGAAATGAAGTCATTGAGCAGAAGCATCCGAACGCTGGAAGGTACTTGTCCCTCCATTCGGGCTAACTCACGAGCAATCTCTTTTGATTTTTGCAGAAGTTATTCACTTACTTCCTTTCAACCAAAGATTAGCTTCTAAGCTTTTTTTTTTTTACTTTTTAAAGCATATTCCTACACTTTGTTTTCTGACATTTACAACCACTAGGATTAGCAGCCATTTAAGTTTCCAAATAGGTATAAACCCTTCTGGATGCATGAAACTCTTTTTATTTGTCTTTTCTGATCCAGGACAAACCAACAACCGGTCACGGACATATCTAGCTGATCAAGAGGATTATGGAGGTTCTATCACTAGCACAAGGGTGGGATGAGAATTGGTTGTGGGTTTTAAGTTATCGTTAGTTCTAAGCCTTGTAGCCCTCACTAATCATTAGAAGTGATGATTTGTGATGCAGAGACCATATGCAAATGGGAGTGCAGATTATGACAACCGTTCAGGTTATCCACGAGCTTAATCTGCATTATTTACATTATTTCAGATTCGTTTTCGTTTTTTTACTAACTAGATCTGCAGGAAGATCTGCATCGCCACCCGCACGAGTGGATCCAGCTGTGCCCCCTCATCCAAAGTCATACATGGAGGTAATATTCGCCCATATTTGCAAAATAAAATTCTCTTTTTTTATGTACTAAAAGTATTTGTGATTGCTAGTTTTTTTATTCTGACATTTCGAATGGCTGCAAAATCGTGATTTTCTCTTGACCTAAGTTCATTCCTCTACCATTGGACCAAAAGCTTATTGCCTGGTTACATACATAACTAAGTTCATCCCTAAAAGCTTTCACACTATACTTTTTAATGCCCAGTACACAATGATTGATGAATCTAACGTTTATGTAATTGATGATGCCTCAGATAATGGCTATGATCCAGAGAGGAGAGAAGCCGCCTAACATTCGGGTAAATGGAATATGTTTTCTCTTCCGTACTCTGGATTAGCTGCTGAATTCATGCTGACAAGGTTCTGTGTTCGTTCATTCAAATACAGGATATTAACGATATGCCGCCGAATCCAAACCAGCAGCCATCTAATCCTCGAATTGCTCCAAGAGCTAAGGTACAATCTATCCCTTTTTCGCCAAAATCATCAGGTCATATCTGTCAATATCAAAACTAAACCGTAGATGGATATAGTAGCTACATTCCAGGTTATGATAGTCACGAGAGTTGTTTTTTTTATTGACACTAGATAGAATCTAGGCTGTGACTGCAAGTATTCAAAAAAATTTAACCCCGAGTCTGAGTACCGAACTATCTTTTGTACCAGCCATGGGATTCCGGTCAAGTGCAAGATGAGAGTTTCAACCCTGACCGCTCATCAGCACCATGGTGGCAGCGTAAAAACCCTAGAATCACTGAACCCGGGAACGAGACTGGCTCATTCGGTAGTTACCAGAGCGAAACAGGTACAAAGGAGCAGCCAGCCATTCAGCAGCGGGCATGGGTTCCTCCTCAACCACCCCCTGTTGTTATGGCAGAAGCAGCCGAAGCTATTCGTCGTCCCAAGCAGCCACCACCGGCTAAGGTAGACCAAGAGGCGGCAGGTGATGACCAGACAGGAAGTAGTTCCTCTGGTGTGACAGATGAGTTGCAGAAGATCACAAAGGTGTCTGAATCTGGCGGTGAAGGTTCAGGGATTCATATCGCCGAGATTCAAGAAGAAGAAGAGCAGCAGCAACAATTGGGGCTAGAAGGGAACTGAACACAGTTTTCGGGTTTTGTCCTAAGAATTTGCTCTGTGGCTCCAGAATCTGTGAGATTCTTCCTCTATATAGACATGGTGGGATTCCTTGGGAGGAACATGTACTTCAGAATGAATTTGTTTTGGGGTTACTTTCATAAAAAAAAAGGGTTCATATACATGTATCAGCTCTTTGTTTTGGAAAGCAGAGAGGAGATTGTGGTTTATTGTAGATACTAAATCATGACAAGAAAACTCAGTTATTGGGGTTGTCTGAAAAAAAAAAAGACAAAAAGAAGAAAACATCTGTTAGCAAGTGAATGAATTTAGAACATTATCAACTGCACTGTGTGAGAATCACAATCTTGGGTTACAAACCAAGGAACTGTACAAGGAGCATGAGTTGAGTTGTTGATATTCAGAGGCTTCATATTGCTGATGAAGAAGAGAAAAGAGCTAGGAGGAACCGTGAGTGAAGAGCTTGTAAGCAGAAATCATAGAGCTGAAAGCGAAAGCTGTGAATGTAAGGAAAGACATGACAATGGATGCGGTCGCCATCTGAGTGAACTCGTCTTTTCCCCAGTTTGATACCCAGTCGTCCACCCGAGTGGCCGCTGATGAAGAAGCCGATATCAGAAGATATGCAAGAACCTGTTTGCAGATATAGAACAAAACCCCCCAAGCATCTACAGATCATCAGCATTAGGGTAAAGTAAACTAGTTTTTTTTTAATCCATTAATCTTCATTGATTTGAATTCTTAAACCTATAAAAATGGAGAAGGCGGCATTTATGCTGTAAAATTTTGTTTGACCTGATCCATGAAGAATTCGAGTGCATTGTGAAGGCCGTAGTTGATCATGTACTTCTCTCTGGCCATATAGCAAGCAGCGTCGCAAGCTTGAAATGCAGAGTAAACAAAGGCTGTAACGTTTACTCCCAAGCAATACCTGTAAAAGAACAATGCATAATAGTTTTATCATTTTCCCAGAAATTCTTCAACTCAAGAACGCTCCATTGGATTGAAAAGTTGAAAACTTTAAACACAAGCAACGCAATCCACACAATTTAGCAGCAGATTAAAGCTTTCCAATCGGGAATACAGATCACTCCTCAACCAAATGAACCCTTCAAAGATGCCACTGTTTAGCCTAGAGATATTTCTGACAGCCCATGATTTGTCTCGTGGACTTGTGCAGAGTTTCTTCTCGAGAGCCAAGAAACAGAGTGGAATATGAACCGAAGCTCTCTGATCGTAGAGGATGAAACAAAGATGTATATAACACAGCAGAATTTGAAAATTGTAGTTGGGAATTTAGGATTTTTGACCCACCAGGTCTTAGATAATCAAACCTAATCTGGAAGAGGATTACGGAAGCAGGAAGAAACAGAGAACAGGATTGAGAAAGAGAAGAAGCTTGACCTGTACTCCTTGTAGCGATCATAGGAATCACCGCTCCATCCCTGAGTTTTATCAGCTGCCATGATCGAAAACGAAATCAAGCTCAAAACAACCTCGCTCAACCTGAACCCTAGGGCCGCAACACCCACCAGCTCCTCCCTCCTCGTCCTCCTCACCGCCGTTGCTTCTACGCCGTTACTCGGCGGCCCGACCTTCCTCGTCGTCGACTGCGGAGCGTCCTCCCTCACCCAACGATTGAAAACCACCATCGAAGACGGAGACTTCGCGGACGCTCCGACATTCCTCTGCGGCGGAGGCGGTGGCGGCGGAATCGGCGAGGGAAGCGGACAAAACTGGGTGAACTTCTCGGAAGCGATTATCGCCTTGGGGTTGTCCAGTTTGAATGGAGATCCCTCCGGCGAAGCGTAACGGCTCTCCGGCGGGTCTAAGGCGTCGGACCGCAGCGGCGAGTGGAATCGGAGCGGGGAGTGGGGCGAGTCGAGGTGACTTGGCACCTCCGAGTTCGATGAAGAAGTTCGCTTCATATTGCACGGAAAATGGACCACCGTAACAGACTCTCCGGCGGTTTCTTCACGGAGCTTGAAGAAGCCTTGTTTTGGTTTTGTTTGGATACTGAGAAAGTGGAGGAGAAAAGGAAACTTCAAAATTTTCTCGGGTTTTCCCGGTAAGCATGGGGCCCACGTTCTTTGCAAAGATCACTTTTCTTCGCGGAGAATTAAAATCAATAATCCGGTGTGACGCACGTACTAATATTTCCAGTAGACCTAATCCAATGGGTGTTCGCCACGTCAGCGATAACTTCTGATGACGCTGATCATATGAATATATACGTTATCTTAGGTTTGGTTTTTCTCTAGGGCGTTGGCTTAATTTTATTCCCCATCTCTCATAAAAGATTTATGCACACACACATGCATATAATTCAACAATGAAAGAATATATATTTTGTCATCGTTTCTTGAAAATATACAAAGCAAATATACCAAAAATGATCACAAAGCTATACTTGAAAAAACTCAAAAAGAATATACCCATACGAAACCAAAGCAAAGCATCACTTTTTTGTCCATCATTTTTTTTTTAATTCGGAAGTTATTCGGGACTTTGGTTCGACTACGTCTTTAAGAGAATCGCGGAAGCCCAGGTGAATACCTCTCTCCACGCTTGGGTTTGAACGAGAATGAGATTTGCATGTTCTCTCATCATTAGACCACCCAAACTTGGGTTTCTTGCCCATCATTTTTATTAACACTCTTGATTTTTTTTTATTTAATTTTTTGTGATTTTCTTATAAAATAAAGTGCTTTTCTTTTGTCAAACAAATAAAAAGAAATGTGGCATTTGTGTCCTTAGTTTAAAGCACAAAGCAAAAGTGCACCACCAATATTATCTTTTCCTTTTCTCTAGCTTTTATGAAAAAAAGAGGGATTAATCACTTGTCTTTCTTTTCTATATAATAAACACACACCTACAAAAAAAAATGAACAGAAAAACAGTAAGAGCATGTGACCTTGACAGAGTAATGAAGGATATGGACTTGGTTCTCTTCTTGATCCAAAAGGAAAGAAACCCAACTCTCTGTTCTTTCTTTTAAGGCAAACTCATTTACAGTTTTACATTTTGCCACTTTAACATGGAGTAAAAAAAAACCCCAAAAGTCAGAATCAAGTAAGAAAGAATCTGTCAGTGCTTGAGTAAAAGACCTCCATTGTTGTCCCATAGTATCAGTCAGTACTGACTCACTCTTCGCTCATCTCCGAGTCGGAGATTGCTCAGCTGCCGAGACGGGAACCCCGCCGTTCTCTGCAGTTTCAAGTGCAGCGTCGGTCTCTGAGCCCGAGCTCGAGTTCTCTGCCCGAACTGGCCGGAGAAAACCCTGCATTCTCAACAGGTAACTCTGGCTCGGAGGTTGGCTTGTCACATACCGTGACTCGGCCATTTGGGTGTCGCCCGCCGGGATTGCTCGTTCAGCGTCTGAGCTGCGGAGATTGGAGAGTGCACTTAGATCGAGATCCGGGAAGATAGAGCTGCGGCAACGAGGGCATTTTACATTTAGGCGAAGCCACTGGTCGATGCATTCGACATGGAAGTTGTGGGCACATGGTAATCCCCTAACCTGCGAAATTCAGACAACCTTGACAATCTGAGGAGAATCGAGACAAGAATAGCATGGGACAAGGGCGAGCAAAAACTACATACAAGAAGAGTACGAATGTAGACATGTCGGGAAAAAAAAAACCTTAACGAAGATACATGCAAGGGTTAAAACCTTAGAAAGTCTCAGATTTTTACCTCGTTTCCAACGTAGAACTCCTCTAAGCAGATAGGGCATTCACTGCAATCGGTAGGGACGGCTTTTAGCCTGAACTTTGGAAGTTCTTGAATGAGAGCTTCAACTGCTTCTCTCTGTTAACAGAAGGAACAAGCCTTAGGCGATCATAATCGCTACGACATTCAGATGCAAAGATAGTATAAGTAAAAGTGGCTTACACTACGTTTCAAACTGCAAATGAAAATGACGACCTTTGTCAAATCATCAGCAGGCAAGAGAATTTGCCTAATTCTATACAGAATGTAACTTATGCTTGGAGTTTCCAAAATTTTCATTTTTGGTATGTTGTCATTTTCAGATTACCCTAATTCTATACAGGATGTATCTCAGCCAAACCCTTGATTGTACTATAATATTATTTCTTTTGTCAAAAAGTCACAATAATGTTAAGGACGAGCTATCAATTCTTTGTTCCCTGACGATACGAATAAAGGACGAACTTGCCTGAGCTGGGGTCAAGTAAAGCCCGGGGTGGTAAGTAGTGGTATCTTGACCCATGCCTCTCATTTCTTGACCTGCAGCTTCGAATGCCCAGTCGGGTACCCTAATCATGTCGACTAAAATCTGAACACATAGAAACGGTCATATACTCAACTTTTCTCAGAAATGAAAACAAGTAAAAGCCCAACCATTGAACAACAAGGGAAGTATTAACCACATTAACGACAATCATGGAATTCTCAAACTTACCCCAAATTCTGAAATGGGGATTCCCTGCTGAGCACGCAATAAGAGTGCCTGCCTTCGCGTCAACCACTGACCAAAGATGTATAAAATTGATCAAGTTAAGCCCGAGATAATCTTCAGACAAACAAAAGGGAGATTAAGATCTACCTTTCCAATACACATGCAGGCAATGCAGAGGAGTCCACAGTAGCTGAACAGCAGCCAGATAAGGAAACCCCATTTTTGACCTTCTTCGGGTAACTATGCACAGAACAATGCATAATACATGAGCTATGGGATCGTCCCATAAGAATAACCATGAGACATGAACATAAAAGCTGCTTACACAGTCTCTTGCTCTTGTAAACCATTGCGTACCAATAACTGTCCAAGCCCACAGAAACGGGTAGAGCAGCAGAGACAGTATAGACAGAATCACCACTCTTCCACAAAACCGGGCATATCGCTGTTGCCTTCCAAAATCCCTAACATATTTTAAATTACAGGTAATGATATGGAATTAAAACTCGGCTTGCTAACAAGACAAAAACATGCACCTAGCTACTTCTCGAAAACAAGCTTGCAACCCTTAAAGATAAACCATTATAACATATATGCTTATAGCTAAGCCAGAATTGAGGGGAAAAGTTTATGATCCTCGATTTTCGATGATGTAACCCTTCCGAATGGCTACTATGCAAGTACATTCCAACAAAAATGCCTATTCGAAGGACAGGGATGACACAAGAGAAAATGAGGTATTCTCGGCTATATAATTTTATAACGTCTTATCTAACAGAAAATTTCCTCAAAATCTCAAACTTTACTGGAAAGTGCTGCCTAAAAGCCTCATTACAAATTCACCAGGACCCAAGTAGGTTTGAATAGAACTTACAAGCCAAGTCCAGCAGCAAGACCGTTGTCTACAAACATCAGGAGGCGAAAGACGAACACAGTGGTATAATCGACCTGAATTGAGGAAAAAATCCAACAGAAAATAACAAAATTTGAGATTCAGGGAACCAAGAAAGTGGAAATAAGCCGAAGCAGTAGCAGACAAACAAGAGCAGCAAAACTACTGAGTGAGGCACTCACCACTATCCATACGTGCAGTGGGTATTCGCACAGATGATACCTCTTCCAGTTGATTGCCACAATGATTCTACAAAGCAAAACTATTGAGGAGACACAATTCCCAGATTCTTTCGATCGATCAAAACCCTAACAAAATCTCAGCCCGACTTCTTCTACTGGCTTCCAGTTTTCTTGTAAAAGGAACCCAAAATCGGATATTCTAGGGAAAAAGGAAGCAGTTTACTCGTTTTCTTCTCCTCTGATCGAACGAACATTCCCAAACCACGAAAACTGTATCCAGATCATAAATGGGGAAAAAAAGAAGCGGAATCATCTCCGGGATTGAGATTATTCAGCTCGAATCCAAGCCAAAAGAAACGAAAGTAAAATTCGAAGAAACCAACGTACAGAGATGAAAAGGATACACACTAGTCGCGAGCATCGACAAGAAGAACCCATCGTACCTGCAGAACTCCATCGTTCGTTCCCACAAAATCAGAAATCCAAAAATAGAAAAACAATGTGCATATACATATATAATAAAAACTAAAATCAACCCCATTTGGATCGGTCCCAAGCCAAAAGAGACGGATAGAACTAACCACTTGAAATCGGCACCTCTCATCGTCCTGAGGCACAGAGAGAGAGAGAGGTGGGGGGTCGAACAGGGGGAAGCAGGAAACCCTAGCTCAGTAAGAAGATCAAAAGCTCATCCCAATCCGAGAATGGGATTCGAATCCTCAGTTGATGCAACACAAAGCGGATTAGGATCATGAAATGATAGAGAGAGAGAGAGAGAAAGAGGCTATTCTCGGAGGAGGAGATTTTGGAGTGACACAGCAGTGGTAGGGAAGAAAAAGAAATTGGAGGAAGAGGAAACTTCGGGACCAAAAAGAAGGTTCAGTGTTTGGAATCTTAGATACGTTATATCTGACGTGTTTGTTTGATATGGAGTTTTCTTTAATATATTTTTTTAAATCTATAATTTCAATTAAGCTAGAAATTATTTTAAAATCTTATAAATTAGTCTTTACAAGAATATATATATATATAATAACTATTGCCTGCCCCACTAATAAATTTTTTTATCCGCCACTGTGATCAAGTATATATAATATATACTTGATTTGGGTATAAAAAAGTATTCATGCCTCTCAAAAAAGTTAGGTAAGAAAGAAACAATATGCCAAAATATAAAATTTGAACCAAAACAAAAGGAAAAAAATGATAATATATTTTAAGAGCAAACAATAAATAGATAATAATTTAATACTTTGGATTTCCATTTGAGTTTTACTTAACTCCAGATTCAAAATTTTCATTTTTAAAATTTATATCCACTTTTTATATTTGATGTTTATGCAACACTTTTTTTCTATTGCACATTTCATTCGAAAACGTTATTATTTCACATTCTATTCGAAATATTTACGTATTTAACTTTTTATTAAAATCTAAAAAAATAAATTTTTTTTCCAAAACTCGCGATATTAACAAGAGAAAATTCTACAGAAAAACAATATGTGATTAAAACCATCGTTTACAACCCAACAGAGAAAACAAAAAACCAAACATCACACGAACACCATTGTTTCCCCTGTAAGCTTTTTATTTGGATCATTCACCACAAACCTTTTCTAGTTTCTATTTTTATTTTTTATATATATATTTTTTTAAGAAAACACACAAGAAGCAGTTATATATATATATTTCAAATCCAAGCAGGATTCTTGAGGGGAGCAACAACTGCCTTGACCTGCAAGTAATTGTGGAGACTGTATATACCCTTTTCTCGACCAATGCCACTCATCTTGTATCCACCGAATGGAATGGCCGCGTCGAAAACGTCAAAGCAGTTCACCCACACCGTCCCAGCCCTCAGCGCCCTCGTCATCCGGTTCGCTGTCTCGAGGCTCCTCGTGAAAACCCCGGCCGCAAGCCCGTACCTTGTGTTGTTCGCCCTCTGTATCACCTCGTCCAAGTCCCTGCAATCCACCACCATTCACACCCTCTCATTTCACTTTCTTACAGGGACAAACACAAAGCTTCCAACCGACAAATCTAACCCGCAATTGGGTACCCAAATTTTGGGTATTCAGCTGAGACCATATTAGGTCGGGTGTGTGGCACTGGGGGAACCCGAGCCACGGGTTGGAGTGTGGGTTATATCGTTTGATTACCCGTATTCGAGGGTAATTCGAGCCAAGGGGGAGAAGACAGGTGAGCTGATGTGGGTGAGGCCATTAGGGCTTTGAGCTTGAGGAAAATGACGAGTCTCGTCAGGCAAGAGGCAAGAGGCAAGCGACAAGAGGACACAAGCGGTGTAAGGAGTAGAGTGATTTCACGAGGGTTTGGGAGCGATTTCCCATAGCCTCGCTTCGCCGTTCCTCCACCTTATCTCTCTCCTCACTGCCTTATCTTTTCACCTCAAAATCCCCGGCTCATCCTCTCGCCTCATTGGCTGGGTACCCGAGCTATAGCCGCACCCCATAGGTATCCAAAACTTGGGTCCCCGACCCTCATGAGGCCTAGTCCGGGTACTTTGATTTAAAAAAAAAACGAGAAGATGAGATCGGGAGGTATCCGACGAGTACCCATCCTACCCACAAACTTATGGCATGAGGACTACGTTTTTGCAACGAGATTTCGTTGCTGGTTAGTGGTAGCTCTTGCATAAATTAAAGAAAAAGGGAGCGAGCGGTAAATTTACACGTACTTGAATTTCAGAATCGATTGGACTGGACCGAAGATCTCATCTCGAGCGATAAGCATGTCTTCCTGCTCGGACGAAAATGCAATAGTCGATGTCATGAAATTAGTATAAAAATTGTGGCAAGGGACTGAGTATTATCTCAAGGAAATCAAAACAAAGAGAGTACCTTAACATTGGAGAAGACTGTTGGCTGGATGAAGTATCCTTTGTTACCGATCCTTTCACCGCCGCATTCAAGAACGGCATCGCTTTCGAGCCCCGATCTTATGTACCTCATCACCTTCTCGAATTGCTCTGAGTCCACCTACGAAATATTCCCGATCATGAAATCGATTTACTGAAAGAAAACGAGAATGGTTTCACAAGAAACAAAACTCTTTCTTTTTCTTTAGGTGATGTATCCTAAAAATTGACACTAAACCCTAAACCCTTCTTATTTAGTTGGTGTACCTGGGGGCCTTGTTCGATGCCTTTCTTAAAGGGATCACCAACAGCACGTCTCAATGCTCGTGCTTTAGCTTTCTCTACAAATTCATCGTAAACTCGTTCATGGACATACGTGCGTGACCCGGCACAGCAGCATTGCCCCTGGAAAACAGATCCAAACATTCATTGAACAATGAACACTGGTCCATGCACTCAGTTACAGAGGCAAGTCTAGCAAAATTCTTGATAGCATGTTGAGAATCCGTGAAGCACTTTTGACAAGATCTTTTCTAGTTTCGGCAAAAACCTGGTTAAAGAACAGGGCAAAGTGTGCAAGCTCCACAGCTTTATCGATATCAGCGTCCTCGCATACAATGAACGGTGATTTTCCTCCGAGTTCAAGGGTTACCGGCTTGAGATTGCTCTTCGCGGCTAATTCAAGAACCACCTTGCCTGTTTCAGTTGACCCGGTGAAAGCAAGCTGCAAGAAACGTAAACGTTAAAATGAAAAACTTAGAAACTATATTCAGGATTTCAGAGCACCACCAATGTTGTCACCATCATAATCTAAACTTAGGAACTCAGTTTCTCAAAGGAAATAGTAAATCGATAAGAAAAAAAAGAGTACAAACCTTGTCTACATCCATGTGACTGGCTAGGGGAGCACCCGCCTCCGGACCATACCCAGAAACTATATTCAGAACACCATCAGGAAGACCCGCCTGTTATGAATTTACGAAAATTCCCACTAAGAATAGAAACAAAATACCGAAAAAGAACTGTTTTAGCTTAGCTGAACCTTTTTGTTTACCATAAACTTACCTCATGAAAAAGCTTTCCAGCATACAAAGCGGTAAGAGGTGTCTGTTCTGCGGTTTTGAGGACAAGGGTGTTACCGCAAGCAAGAGCCGGGCCAACTTTCCAAGCAAACATTAGAAGCGGAAAGTTCCACGGGATAATTTGTCCAGCCACACCAATTGGCTCGTGTAACGTCTGGACATGATAGTTTCCATCAGCTGGAACTGTCAAGCCGTGAATCTTGTCCGCCCAACCTGTTCACACCACATCGAGATCGTTCAAGAAAGGAATGAAAATCAACATGTCACGAAAAAGGCGAAAACTTTTTTTTTAGTAATTTGGATCAGTATAGAGACCAGCATAGTAGCGGAACAATCTGGCAAGCATCGGAATTTCAGATTTTGAGGATTGCTCATAAGGCTTCCCATTGTCCCACGTCTCCAGAATCGCAAGCTCTTCACTGTTTTTCTCGACCAAGTCGGCGAATCTCAGCAATATTCTCGACCTTTCCTGAGAGCCAAACACCATCCAGATTCGAAAAGAGAGAGAGAGGGTAAGAACCTAAAGCCCTTACTATCAATCTAGCAAGCCATCAAGCAGATAATTCTATTCGTAGACAATACTATAAGCAGTAGTGTTCATACATAAGCCGGCATTTTTGGCCAAGGCCCTTCATCAAAGGCCTTCCTAGCAGCCTTCACTGCCCGATCAATGTCCTCGGCATCGCCTTCAGCCACATGAGCAATGACTTCACCCGTTCGCGGGTCAAGAGTCGGGAACGTCTTACCTAAACTCCGAAATCCAGATTCACTATAAGTTCTCATGGATTAATCTATGGATTATCTCTGTAACTTCTCTGGTAAATAGCAGAGAACAATGTAAAAGATGGAAACTTTAATGACCGGAAGCTGAATCGACGAAGTTTCCATTGATGAGATGCTGGGTGTAAGAAACTTGAACCGGGGGATTGATGATTTCCTCAACAGCTGCAGCTGTTGTCGCGAACCCTTTGCTGTTTCTTCCACTGAAGCCATTTTTCCCTTCACATCACCACCACCACCACCATCATCATCATCATCATCATCATCGTTTTACCATTACTCTGATTCTTAAACCCTCAAATATTAAACTAAATAATATCCGAAGCAAATGGGTCTTAACAAATTGACTACTTTATCCCAGATTCACCCAGAAAATCGGAGAAAACCCAACCAAAAAAAAAGGAAGAAACCAAGTATCTTTTGCTGATTCAGGCTATGAGTATGGGCTTATGCTTATTTCAAACCAAAATACAAAAAAAAGAAAAGGAAAACAGTTGTGCAGATTCAAAGGAAGAGCCTTGACCGGGGGAGGGGGGCTTACCTGAAGAACGGGTCAGAAAAGAGGAAGAAGGAGCAGAGAGAGACCGAAAGAAGAGAGGGGAGAATCTGCGAGCCGCCATGGATGCCGGAGCTTCAAGGGCTTATCTCTTCTCTCTTGCTTCTGAGATTATTTTCGGTTATATGGGACACTGCATGAAGGATCCGAGGGTCAGGATTTATCCATCTCTACTCCACCAACACCACCATGTGTCACTCTCTCTCAGCAATGTATCGCCGTACTTTGTCCGTTTGTTTTGCGCTATTATTTTATTTTACGACGAATAAAGAAAGAAGAGAGAAAAACGACAAGACAATGAATGCACGCCAAACGGAACGTGATCATATCCACACAAATAAAAGACGACGATATTTTTCCAACCAAGAAAAATCGGTACGTAGACGAATGAGTGAGTAAAAAATCTACTTGCCTATAATTTCCTCCATATATATATATATATATATATATATATATATATATATATATATATATATTGTGAGTAGAAAAATATTTTTCCAACCAAGAAAAATCGGTACGTAGACGAATGAGTGAGTAAAAAATCTACTTGCCTATAATTTCCTCCATATATATATATATATATATATATATATATATATATATATATATATATGTTGAGTACGGTGCAACGTCGTTTTCTTTGGTAATTAATAGATTTCATCAAAACGTGGCTGTATATATGCAATCTCTTTAATAATATTGAAGGTACTCAACGGGTAAAGAAAGAATGAAAACTCTTTTTTAATCCGGATTGGAATCTTTACTTTAATTTTTAGATTATAAAAAAAAATCTGAGAAATAAATCTATATGATATAATTTTAGTTTTTTATATTTTTATATTATTTTTTTCATATTAAAAATATAAAAAAGAAACTATATTATTGAGTTAGATTTATTTCTATATTTAGCAACATTTTTTTTTTCACTTTTTTGGATAAAAATGGATATATACAACACAACGGTTTAGGGATAGCTTTGGAGGTGGACAGGACAATAATAGCGGTCCATCTCTATTTATTTTTTTTTTGTCTTGGAGTAGTTGGTGAGTAAATGAAGGTAGGCCATTCGTTTGTTGCCTTTGCTCTCACCAACCTGAATTTTTACCATCATTGCAATTTTTTTTTTTTTTTTAAAAAAGACACAAAGTAACATAAGAAAAATCATGTTAATATTAAAGTTTATGGATGTGAATAAATAGACTAAAGAGATGCCAAGCATTTTGGGATCGGAATATTCATATTTAGGATGTGATAAAAAATAAATTTGGAGATACGAATAATAGAATCTTCAACAAAACACACACACATATATATATATATATAGCTAGGGGTGATGTTTTGGTTCATATTTAAGAAGAGATAATAATAATAATAATAAAAAATTGGAGATACGAATAATAGAATCTTTAATAACATATATGTGTAATTCTAGGGGGTGATTTTTAGTTCGAAAACTTAGTTCCGGAATGGGACCAAATATTGTTCGGTCTAATTTGGTACGATCGAATAAATCTGTTTTAGAACCAAAATCTACAAACATCGAATCGAATCCAACACTACAACTTACCCCATCCAATTAACATTCGATTCTAATTTGGTATAATTTTTATAAAACCGGATAAATCGTTTTCGAATTATTCGATCTGATTTGGTATATTGCTTTAGAACCGAATAAAACGCTCTCGAACCGATACCGAATAGAATCTGACGCCAAAACCGAACCGATTAACATTCGGTTTCCGTTTGGTGCTCGTGTAACGAAATCGTGGCAAACCAAATCCCCACCAAAACCGAACTAAACCGATAAATATTCGGTTCTAATATGGTTCAATTTTAATGGCAACGAATAAATTGTTCCCAAACCGGATCTTACATATAATCAACGAATGAATTGGATTTATTTCCGGTTATACGAAGAACTAAAGAAACTAAACGGTCACATTTTATTTATATAAAGGAAATTTACACAAAAAAAAAACATGAACTGAAAGAAGACAAGGAAATGGATAAAGTGTATCAGAAGAAATCAGGGTCCTCTGGTTTGAACATCTTCGGCATCTTCAAGCTGGGATCGTCAGGATCAATGCTCGCAGATCCTCTCTGGTTTCCTTGGGCGCCTCTCTTCGTGTTCGCCGCGAATTTCGAAGCCAATATCGTCGCACTCAGGTTCTGGTTACTGCTGCCGCTGGCGTCATTCTCCGGCGAATCACCCGCAAATGACGTCACTCCCTCGTCATCGTAGCCGTAGCCGTAGTTGTAGTAGTAGCGATCATCTTGCTCCTGCTTAGCCAGTTCCACAGCCAGCTTCCTCTTCTTGTACCTTCTCCATGCCGCCTGTATGAAACAAGTTCCCCACGCCCTCCATTGATGCGAATAGTACCTGCAGAGGCTCGTTTCAGAGAAATCGAAGACTCGGGATCGGATCGGGATCGAAGAAACAGGAAAAAGGATTAAACTTTGACCTGAAAGCATGCTGCAGTCTCTTGCTGTGGAGACGCCTGAACTGGTTAGCCACGAACTTCAAGTCCTCGGCCCGGAGAGCGAAAGCCTCTACTTCAGAAAGGGTCTTCACCGTTCTTGTGGACAAAGGGACGTTGAGGCTTGAAGTCGCCATTAATGCCCAGGTTAAGAGCTCTTCTCCACAGAAATCTCCCGGTCTGAGTGTGATGGTGTTGAAGAAACCCGACCTCCCACCATCTGTAGTGGAACTCTCCATCTGCCCTCTTATGACAAAGATCATCTCGTTCACGGGATCTCCTTCCCGAATCACATACGTATCTTTCGTGTTTAGCGACGGTACGAGGCGTTCGCATATCGCATCCAAGAGCTGGTCGTCCATTTGCGCAAAGAACGGCACCTGATAAAGTTTTACGCAGGTTTTTGCAACGGTGAAAACGGTTATGAGTCCCGAAATCTCATGAAGAATAGAGAAGGGAATGATAATCTGACAAAAATTCCCCTTGAAACCAAGAAAAATGCAGAGGGAGAAGATGATGGAGATAGACAGAACACGAGATTGCAGAGAAGCTGCAGAAACAAAAGCAGTTACTTGACTAAGAAGCAAACGAAATTCGACGTATATATTTCCCATCTCGTAGTTAAAGAAAATCATGTTTATGAAGTTCATAATGTCTAGATGTGATCCATTGCTGGATTAGAAAGCTTTTATTTTCGTTAACATATCCAAAATTCATGGTAAAATCACCAGGTTGGTTATATAAGAGTTTTTTTTTTTTCACAAGAGATGAACTTACGCGGCGAACAAGGGCGAGGCAGAGGTGGCGTTGGATCTGGCGGCGAAGATCCAAAGGCAAAGCCCGCAAGATAGCTTCCTCGTCGACGCCTCGAGTGGTAAGCCATTTGTATTGGACGAAACGTCTAACTCGCTCCTGCAACTCAGTGGGCAACTGCCTGTGACTCATCCACTCTTCTGTATCTCTTCTTCTGACCCTCCACTCGTCCAATCTAGCCGTCGTCGATTGCAGATAATTCTTCAGGAACACGAAAACCACTGAGCCTTCCGAATGGGCGAAACAGAGAATACAATAAAAAAAAAAAACCCGTTCAAGAGAGTACCTGCACATTGCCTATGAGATGGGAGAAGAAAACCAGACCGGCAACGCATATGAAGCAACTGAATATGGTCTCGCTGCTGAGTGTACTCGCCGCAAGATTCTGTCCGTAAGAACTGCGAAAAAAACAAAAACGTGTTCTCAAATAAAAAAAACTCGGATTTCGGCCAAAAACTGTGAATTTTTTGAAGACCGAAACGATCGTTCACCTCAGGTTGCGAAGGCCCCACCAGAGGCAGTAGAAGTACTTGTCGATGAACGAGGCGGAAGTGACGTCGTTGGTGAATGCGTCGGCGAACATTCCAAACTGGAAATGCTCCTCGTCGTCGTTCCGGGCGTCGCAGTTGGTCAGGACTTGAGAGATTCGCATCCAGGCTTGCCTGGCGGGATCGTTCAGTGTCCCGCAGTCGAGGAAGATGGGAGCGCAGGACGGGGAATGAGTCGTGTTCACCTCTTTCCTGCACTCTCTTCTCCAGCAATCGTGCTGCCTCTGTATCGACAGCACGTACCATGCCGCCCCCAGGACCTGAAACACACGAAAGAATCACGAGAAAATAGGTTTAAATCGAGAAAGAGTTTAGAGCGACTAGGCAAAAGATTGAGAATCAAGTCAAAAGAGTATGAAATCGAGAAAGTGCGAAAGATCAAGAATCACGAGAAAAGAGTCTCGAATCAATATTAGTCTAGTGACCATGTAAAAGATCGGGGAATCGCGAGAAAAGAGCCTCGAATAGAGTACTAGAGTTCGGAATCTGCTCGGGTTTTTCGTCTCGTATCCAGAGAAACAACTTACGTGGCTCGCGAGCATGTAGAGCAAGAGATTGTAGGCAGCTCCCGACCAGGCGGTCCTAGCCACGACGCCGGTGGTTTTGATGATCCGACGGTTGAGAGGGAACATGACGAAGAACCGAGGCACGTACTGCAACAGCACTATCAGCGACAAAGTGTGGTTCTGATGGGCAGCGTACCTGAACTCTCCAGCGTTTGGAATCACAAACCAAATCATAATCTAAACCGAAAGAAGAAAAAAAAATCCATCAGTGAAAAAGAATCGAAAAACAGCCAGAGAAATTGCTGCAAAAAATGTTTCAGATTGTGAACCTGAGGGAGAGGGAGGGAGGCGAAGAGGTCGATGATGAAGTCGGATTTGAGATAGCGAAGGGCGATGGCTCTGCGATCAAAGACGAGCTCGCCTCGGCCAAAGACGCGGGAGCTTTTGACGACGAAGGCGGTCTTGAACTTGAGGAAGATGTGGAGGAGGAAGAAGAGGTCGGCTAGGGTTCGGAAGAATGTGACGAGGATGCCGAAGCCGATGTCTATGGACATGCAGGCCGTGTTGGCACGGACAATCGGGAGGTAGAAGTAGAGAGGGTCCAGGAATAGAGCGACCAGACACGTTACCAGGAAGATGTGGTTCCATTTCGTGATCAGATCGCCGCGTGGGTCGAGTGTCGTGTCCCAGACGGAGGACCGGTGGTGTCGCCGCCTCCGGAGAGAGAATGCCGACGTCGGAAATCCGCGGAAGCGGGAGGATGCGTAGACGTGGAGGTTGTTCATGTCTCTTTTTTTTGTTGGTGGTGTTTTTTTTCTGTTGACGGTAACAGAGACACGAGTTTAGGAGAGAGAATTAATGTCAGCCAAGAGAATGGCATATCATATATATATACATATATATATATATATATATGTATGTACATATATATGTATATAAATCAAGATAGATAGATAAGCAGAGATGTGCACTTACAGTTACAGACAAGACAAAGTTAGAAAACTTCTTAATCTACCGATTTGTCAGGTCGGGTCTCTGCATATAACACGTTCTCATACAAAACCCTAGATCACTAGCTTGCTTGTACGTCACGCAACATCATTCCTCGGAGCATTCTCAGCCTTTATCCCCAACAAAGTATCACCTACGATCCACGGAAAGCTCACGAAATTCACCCTATCGACAAGATTGGTTGGATGATAAGTTACGTAATACCATGCAGACGCTAGTTTTCGCCGTTCCTCGTCACCCCCTCCGCAGCTTTCCTCGAACCATCCCTTGGCCTCTCGCTGCAAATCCTTCACCGATAGCATAATCCTGTCTTTCATATCATCGTACTTACGCCTGTCTCTTTGCAGATATGTCTCCCGATTTCTGAGAGTACCAGTAAGAATCTCTTCCTCGGTCTCAACCTCGTAATACTTCATCAGTTCACTTAATTTCCCGGCATACTTGTCTCTGTGGATCTTTGCTGTTTCCAGAAAGGCTTCCAAGCCATTAACTTCCAGTGTCGAATCATACTTCACCTCAGCAGTCTCCCCAAGTTTCCTCTGGGCCAAGAAGTTCTTCACCGCACGGTAAAGTTTTCCAAACACAGAATCCGAGATGTATGTTGATCTCCCAGATCGTTCTAGGAAATCAGGGAATGCCCTTGGTTTTAAATCAAAGGGCATCTCGGCTGGAACTCCGGTTTTGGCAAAGTCCACAGCCATGGAATGGAGATTTGCTAGCTGCAGGCATTTCTCGCTTCGGGCTTTTTCTGGGTCATGATCCGCATGGATCAAATGTGCAGTTGAGATTACGCCCAGCGTGTCATTTATCATGTAATCAACGACGAATTTGTGGATTTCCTACAAAATTTTCACGATTTTAGGAGTTGAATCCTGAAAATGGAACTAGTGAAATGAATCTGCAGTCATGAGTTATGTGTCCTCAGATCAAAATTCACAGAACTAACCTCTAACTTCACTTCATGATCCATTATCCGAGGTCTGCTTCCAGCGTAGTTCATCGGAGGGTCCGTTTGACTCGGAATAAGCTTCTCATCCCAGCTAACGAAAAATTGGTCGCCGTCAAGATCGCCACCAGAACATTCATTTGGATGAGGCCTGTGGAAGTAAGTGCCTTTAGAAAACTAAAGAATTAACACAATCATCAAAGGCACAACATTGCAACGGGCTAAATCGAGATTATACCTTTCGCCCTTCTTGGGAAAGACGATGCAATCAAGAAATTCTTTTCCTTCCAAACCGACCTCATATACCGCTTCAAGAACTCTGACATCTCCGGGGTGAAGGCACGGGTTTTTAGTCACCACCACTTTTCCGATGACAATCGATGTTTTCTCATCGACATTGCGGAAGAAACTCTGATCCCGGGACTCTAGTTCTGCTTTCGTCAGGGTTACACGAACGTACACTTGGCCATACTCCAGATTGCCATCTTCATCCAGGCAGCCGATCAAGATCCGCCCTTTCGGGACCAATATCCTGCACCTACTCTTTAATTCCAATAACTGGCTCTCACAGTTTACACGGAGCATCATCGAGAGGAAAGGTTCTGAATTTGGGCCATACCCTTGCATCAACATCTTAACCAGCATATTCTTAGAGTTTTCTCCACCCAGTTTATGCAAAACATCTAATGCTGCATTTCGGTCTTCAAGCATTTTCCCTATTATAGATAAGTGTCCCTCTTGCATTGCCTCAAAAACCGAATCTTCTATCCCGAGCGTGGATAAAAGGCAGATGATTTCCCGGTTCAAGAAGCAAGGCATTGACTCCGTCCACCGGGTGATGTTTAGCATCCTATTCGTGGAATCAAACTTGAGCATGCTATTGCGCAGAGACAGCTTCCTGAAGGATTTACGGTCAACAGCAATAACACCTTTGTATCCACCATAGCGTATTTGAAACGCTGACGGGGTATGATCCAAATCACACTTTTGTGCAACTTGTCGAGCAAATGCTTTAGAGATTTTTCCAATGCCGTCTGAGAAGCAGTAATCGATGCCGTCAGTAGTCACTTCAACGTCGGGAATATGTTCAACGTCTTGGGCAGGAACAACAATGGTCTGCCGAGAAGCACTGAACAACTGACCCATCCTGGCTGCACATTTTGAAACACTTCGGATCTTCTTGAAACATCCCATCCAGTCTCTAATGTCGTCTGCTTTTACCTTCTCGTTAGAAGAAAACATCCAGACAGAACCTCCACGCAGTTGGCTCGCTGAGAAGGCCAGAAACTCAAACCTTTTGGACCCGATGGTGATCCCTTCTTTAAGGATTGACAATATCCTGTGATAGATTTTGGTTCTAAAGGGTTTCGCGAAAAAACCTTTCTTGACGCTCACCGAAAGAGCATTTGCCGGCAGCTTACTCCAATCTTCCTCCACGAAGGTAACTCTCATAAAATCTGAAGCATGTTCTGCAAAGTGTTTCACAACATAATTTGCCTTCTCGAGCTCTGGACCCAAAAGATAAATCCTCGAGGGGGTAACGTAAGCTCGATGACAACTCATTATGTTGTCATCAATTAGCCTTTTATAGGACGACATAGGAGGTTGGATCATGTTTCTAACCAGTGAATGCAACTGAGTCTTGACAAACGATACAGGGTCATAACAAACAGAGCTTTGCTGGTTCAATTTGTGGAGAATCATCGTTGCAGTCTCCACACTCAAGCTACCGAGAATGTTGATTAATTCCATCTTTGAAGCAGCAAAAAGACTAATTTTCTGGGTGTGGACTAAGGAGTTGAGCCGGAAAAGGATCTCATACAGCAGATTCTTCCCCAAGTCGGAATTCACAAGCGGAACTACTTCCAATGCAGAAGCAAACATTTTGCCCTCTTCTATGGTCATATTTTTCGGGGATTCCTTATAAAAAGGAAAAGATGAGAAAATATCCGAGACCATTGAGCCTTGCCCAAGTTCCAAACAAAAGCAAGTTGCCTGCCCGATCGATCTAATGCCTGAGAAGTCAGCCGTGCGAACCCAGATAAAGTTGAAATCTTCCTTGGAGAAATGGTACCGATCAGCTCTGAACTTTGGATCGATATTAGGTCCCGATACCTTTTGGTATATCTTTGGTCCATATTTTAGCTGGAAATAACAACATATTAAGAATCAGAACTGATCAAGGACAACCAGTGTCACTGAAATCAGTAACACATGATCAAAACATAGATCAATACACACCTAAACAAAACCCAGTTAATCAGAAAGTGCTTGATGCAACCATAATAACTTCCACGCTCCAGAGAAAGAAAGACACCGACACTAACGATCTCCAGTTAAACCTCATCCAGACAAGTACAAGCTTCTAAACTAATATCCCACTTTGGCGTATTCTATTTTTTGAACATCAAGCTTCAAACTGAACTAAGGGTGTCAACTCCAAATGTAACCAGAATGTCTAAATGACAAACTACTCAGAACGACAATGGAACCTCAATTTTAAGCTCCAGACAATGTCAGGGCCTAAAGTTCCGACCAGAATCAGAGCCGACAGGCTGAAAAACAAGTGAAGCAGACTGAGGAACCACCAACACATAAAAAACCCTAAAACCTACACCATTATCGCAAACACTTACTAGCAAGCATTGAAGAAGAAGAAGAAACTTTACCCTAATAACACACGCATTCAACTCAGACGAGCCATTGGTGCAGCATCCAATGGTTTCAACTACATCTTCAAACCTAACTTCAACCTTGTAACATTCGCAGTTGTGTGAAACCCACAGTTCCATTCTCTTTCTCTCCTCCATGATCCAACACCTGATACCATCCCATCTCTCAACGGCGCACAACCGCCCTTCCTCGCCCGCCGGAAACCCAACCGACAAAACAGCGCCTTCGATTCTGTTCCGAGCATCGACGGGTCGGGGGATGATGTCATCGTAGGCTTCGGAAAGTCTGAGGTTGTGGGACTTGAAGAGGAGCCTGTTCTGGGAGGAGAGGAGGAGGGCACGGGCCTTGGCGTCGAGGGAAGTGAACTGCACGCGCCCGGAGGAGCGTGGCATCCAGCGGTTGTGAACGGTCGGGATTTCGACGGCGAAGACGGTATCGTCGCCGATTTGGAGCTCAAGGAAGCGGAGGAGATCATCGGCCACGATGGTCTGGGGAATGTTGGAGACTCTAACCGTGGGTAGTTTCGTCTCCGTCGCCATGATTGCCGGCGAGAAGAGAAGAGAGAGAAGGAGAGACTCTGCTTCGAAGTTCAGTAGCAGAGGACGATTATGGGAAGAGACGGCATAAATACTTTGCGTTCACCCAAAAAAAAAAGGACTCTTCCTTTGACTCGATTTCTGATGCGTGGAATAAATACCCTAAAACAAATATTAGAAAATTCGGATTCTATTATTTCGGATTTTAACCGATTCAAATAGTATGGTTATATTTAATTAAAAATTATATACTCGGATATTAGATTTTGAAATAATTTTGGGATCAGATTGAGTCAAATTATATTCCATTTACACAGCAAAAAAAAACGAAATTAGGAAACGACAATGAAAATATATTCGTCCCACTCTAGAATTTTCATACCATGGGTGGAGAGTCTCTAACACAGACAGAGGGTCTTGGCCTCTTTTTTCTGTCTCCAGGCGACCCATTGCCAAATCTTAGGACAACAATTTCATGTTCTACACATCGAACATCAGAAAAGCCAACAACACAGATACGTTCTAAAGCTCTCCAAAAAAAAAAAAGAAAAAAAAAACCATTTCCAGCGGTTTATCCTTTTACCTTAACAGGGAAGCAGCAGCGGCTCAAGGAAAAAACCAGAGAGTTACTCATTTCAAGAAGATATCATATATCAGAATCAGAACCCCTAAGCATCTGAAGAGTCTGAATTGCAAGGCCGAATATCGAAACAAGTGATCACAACGCGTTTACCATTCTCCGCATCTCAGCACATCTTCTAGGATCTGGCTCGGCAAGTGCCCTCTCTGTCAGCACATGCTTTATCCGGCACATTGATTTCCTCACCTGCATTCAGAGGCTTATCGGTAAGATGAAGAACTTTGGCATCCCAAGACAGTGGCAGATACGCCCAGAAAGCTTAGGATGACAAAAACCAGTCAAATGTTAACTAGTGATATACCGGAGGAAAGAACTATGTAGATACATTCTTTGGGTGGTTTAAACAAATTGAAAATCGGTGTTAGATACAGGAAGGCCAAGCTCGTATAGTTAACTGAACTCTACTCGCAACTTGGGTTTGGACAGCCTGTTTGATAAAGTTCAGGGAGTCGCCAAGAAATTCTGTAGACGAGGATTATAAAGATGGCTGAAATTACCTTAGGAAGACGTTCAGGGTTTGGAAATCGCAGGTTCTGTGCCTGAAGCATTTGACGCTGAGTCATCAGCATGTTCTTCTCTTTCAGAAGAACATACCATAGCTTATGAAGATCATCCCATGACTTGAGGCGCAGTTCTGACGCTTTCCAGCTTCGACCTGATAACCATGTAGTTTCAAGGTTCAAGATATTCTAGCAGACAGATGTTCAAGTGAAACGAGCAATCTTTGATTGAGATTGAACAGTACTAAATCTCTGAGTGGTCTGAGCAAATATCTTCTACTCGGAGCCTTTTGAGTCGCAGAGAAAGCAAGACAAACATATAAGCATGCTTTATAAGAATAAGAAACCCAGGACTAAAATACTGGGCAGAAATCGGACACTCGATCTTACAGCAGCCAATAAGCTACATTGCCCTGTTATTTTACCTTACTGTAGATTAAGAGGGAGTCAAAAGCTAATGAATGCTCAAAGTAAAAACCCAAGACTTGTGAAATTTTGAAGAGAGAGATGAGGTAACAGATTGTACGTTCCTTTGCCAAATTTTGCTGGAGAAAGTAATATCGAGGGGAAACTACTACATGACCTAACTAATGTAGAGCATCAATGAAAAAGCTAACGACGCGAAAAACCAGAAATCCGAAACATTAGCACTACTCAAAACACTGAAATTCATAAAATCACCAAGTAGTGCCATGCCACATTTATACACCAGTCAATCACAGATCACGAATTGATTCAATCACAAACACAAGTTAATATGCATGTCTTGACAAACATTCAAAATGCTAAGCTCCCGGCAAACATCCGGATTCCGGAACATTAACCTTTTTCAAAACTCCCTTACCAATAATCACACGAGATGTATCCACACATACCTAAGAACCTACACGGGCGGACTAGCCATCATATCATGCATTTCTAACATCAATATCATTTCTTTCTACCAAGACAAGCCCGAGATGTTTTACGTGAAGCTCTCTCCAAAACTTTGTAAAGTAGCATTCACCAGTGATTAGTGAGACAAAATAACTCAACCCGGATCAAGTTCCTGTTATTAATTAGTTGCTAGTAACAGCAAAAAGGAAAGGCAAAACAAAGATAGCAACCACCTTATCACACATTTTCTTACACAAAGTATAATTGGAACTTGCAAGGCATTTCACGCTTAACCTTCTCCGTAGATTTAGACAAGCGTTCATCAATGTCAAGAAGTACAAACCAACCAAAGACGAGCGATTTTTTAGGTTCAAAAAGCAATGCACAACACAGGAAACTCACCGTATACAATGGGCTTGTCTTCTTCCTGGCTTCTATCCACCTCGAAGAACTCCTCGAGAGGGTTTTTCGCCGTCCGCCCAGTAGAAGCAGCCGCCGCGGCAGTCGACTCCGTTCTCGTGGTAG